AGGGCTCAGTACTGGGGCCAGTTCTGTTTAGTATCTTTATCAATGATCTGGATGAGGGGATTGAGTGCTCCCTCAGTATGTTTGCAGATGACACCAAGTTGGGCGGGAGTGTTGATCTGCTTGAGGGTAGGAAGGATCTACAAGGCTGCATTCCGGGTCCTGCACTTTGATCACAACAACCCCATGCAACACTACAGGCTGGAGGAGGAGTGGCTGGAAAGCTGCTTGGTGGAAAAGAACCTGGGTGTGTTTTGTCAACAACTGGCTGAATAGGAGCCAGCAGTGTGCCCAGGTGGCCAAGAAGGCCAATAGCATCCTGGCTTGTATCAGGAGCAGTGTGGCCAGCAGGACTAGGGAAGTGACCATCCCTTTGTACTCGTGAGGCTGCATCTCAAATACTGTGTTCAGTTTTGGGCCCCTCAGTGCAAGAAAGGCATTGTGCTGGAGCATGTCTGGAGAAGATCAGTGAAGCTGGTGAAGGGTCTGGAGCACAAGTCTTAGGAGGAGCGGTTCTTTAGTCTGGAGAAATGGAGGCTGAGGGGAGACCTTATCGCTCTCTACAACCACCTGAAAGTGGGTTGTAGAGACGTGGATGTTAGCCTCTTGTCCCAAGCAGCAAATGATAGGATGAGAGGAAGCCTCAAGTTGCACCAGAGGAGGTTTAGATTGAACATTAGGAAAAATATTTCACCGAAAGGGTTATCAAGCACTGGAACAGGCTGCCCAGGGAAGTGGTTGAGTCACCGTCCCTGCAGGTATTTAAAAGACATGTAGATGTATTGCTGAGGGACATGGTTTAGTAGTGGAGTTGGCAACGTTAGGTTAACGGTTGGACTTGATGATCTTAAAGGTCTTTTCCAACCTAAATAATTCTATGATTTTATGTGAGATGTCCTTTCTCTGTGATCTCATAGTTGAGATCAATGGGAGCATTCCTTCACTTAACATGTTTGGTTCTACTGTGCATTTCTACTAGAAGAGAATCTACTTGCTTCCGTTTTTTTTTTCCACCCTCCAAAAGGGTGCTGCAAAGCAATGGTTGTGTCTGACAGGATACTGAGGGAAAAACAAAGACAGATCAAATGAGGAAAATTGTTTGTCTTTCCTAATCCGTGCGCTTATGGTGCAAAGACTCTGTTCATAGTGTTTTTCTGTCTGTATTTTATGCTCTTTGAAGAAGCAATAAAAAACCTGGCAGGTTTTTAATTATATTTGTTGGTGTGAGTGAGTGGGTATGTGGAGAGAGGGGTGGGTGACCAGGCACAAATTTTTCTCTATGTTTCTCCTACTTGTTTCACTCTGTCTCTTAATTAGTTTTTTTACTCTTCTTTATTATTTGAGCTGATACAGTCAGTTATAGAGGCTTTTTAATCCTAGTTGTAGAACAGATGTCTTGTTTGCCGGGTTAGTATCGAAATGAATCCGTGAGATAATCACAGGAAAAAATCAAACGCTGAGAAAGGATTGTGTGTATTAATGTGCACATGCAGAAATCATGTTCATAAAAATGGAACATGTCACGCTGTTGGCTGATTTAAGCACAAAGGATAGTACGATATCACTGTTGAAAGTGCTTTAAAAAAAGGAAATGAATAAAAGTAATTTCGTTTGGAGCCTGTTTGATTCTTACCTGCAAGGAGGTCACTGCTTACAACTGTAAGCTTCACTTTTTACTAATATACTGACAGCTACGTTTTTCTGTGTGTGTTTGAGAAAAGAATGGGTCAGCTCCTTCTAAACCGTGCAAGTGTTCAGATACTTGAGAGCTGCTTGTGAAGTCTCCCATTTTATCTCCACATTGCATTAAAAGCTGGCTCAAAGACTGTTAAAAGAGTCCTAAAAACTCTTGTTAGCAATTTACAGTAGGTTTAAATCGTCTACAAAATTAATGATGATTGGAATAGTGATCTGCTATATAAACTACTATGTACCTTACCATGTTTCTCTGAAGAAATACAAGGTGAGTCTAATGTGCGTAGCAACGACTATAGATGGTGAGATGTTTCAAGCTTGTATTTCTTTGTTATAGTAAAGAAAGAAAAATAATGTTATTTTTCAGCTTTTTTCGTAGTGTTGGATTCTGTGGTACAGTTGTTAAAGATGACAGGCATTCTTTAAAGAATTTGCCATCAAAAATCCTGATAAATTAGAAATGCTTTCTTTACATGTTCCCTTGAAGTTATTGTAGTATTCTGGTATTATTGTGATACTCTGAGCAGAATGAATATTTCATGATTTTCTATCATTAAATAGATTATAATGTCTAAATGGGTTTTTGTATTTTTAAGAAACCATCAGCTACACATCATGGTCAGGTAATATATGTACTGGTGTTCTAATAATGACTATCAAATAGAGCATTACCTGCTAAGATATACTTTAGTTTTGAGAAGTATTGACCTGTTAAACTGCTCTTTTACAGCTCTTGTGATCTTTTTAGTGATCTTTTTACATTGCAATTGTAAAGTTTAAAAACATTTTATATAACTATTGGAAAAGTTGTAATTGATATTTTACCTAGAAATAATGTAAGCATTTTACTTAATGTTTTGGAATATTAAAAATTATCTCTCTGTGAGGGAAAATAGCAGTTGTAGTAATAATTTGTAATAATTACTTGTCACAATGTATGCATAAATATAAAACTGATTTTTTTTTTTTTTAAGTTCAAGAAACGTAGGAAGAGTTAAAATGAATCAGTGTGATTTTAGCGTTTCATCCAGTTTCATTGAAATTTTCCTTTTGAGCTAAAAGTACTTGTCCAAAATAGTCTTTAGGAAATGGAAATAGCTTATGCATCTTGAGTGTAGGTGCTGTAGGTTGTGTATTTGGTATGTTTGGTATTTTGAAACAAACTTTTTATCCTAGGATTGTTCTTCATGGGAGAGGATTTGCTTTTGTTTAAAGCACAACCCACTAGCAGTTTGCTTGATTGACTAGTTGTGACTGGACTTTACAAAGGGTGAAAAGATGAGATACAGTGTTAAAACAGAACAGAAACAAAACAAAAAGAAAGAAGAGTTCAGGGTGTTGTGGTTGCTGAAAATTTATATGGATTAAAGAAGGTGACTGGAGGAATAAATTGGTAAAAAGCCAATAGAGTATTGTTAAGTAGAAGGATAACACCCCTGGAGAAACCTTCAATCTGCAAATTGCTGCAGGCTGGAATGGTATTCTGGGGAAGTACTGCTTTGCTTACACTATTTCTTGTCTGCCACTTTCTTTTGGCCACTGTCAGAAAGAGAATGCTGCCTAGATTAGCAGTTGATTTTTATCTGCTGTATTTATTGTTGTCTTATAACCCTGTATGTGTCTCTGTGCCTACATGGTTGAGTCATTGCTCTTATTTTGCTTTATTAATTTGTTTCTCCAAATTGATTGCACAACTTGTGAGCAAAGATAAAATGTATGCAATTTAATAAAAAATAGAATCTGTAAATCAATTTGAGAAAGTTTTATGTTTTACAGCTCTATTAGCTTGCTGATGATAATGATTTTTAGATTTGAAAGGTGCGAATTTTACCAGCATGTACTATTTGAGTTCATATTGGTGTTTAGTTTTTTTTTTTTCTTTGATAATGGTCATCATATTAATTTAAAAAAAATACTAAATTTCAGGTGCCTTTATGTCACATACATACATCAAAGCCAAAGCCTCCATTTTATAAAAAGAACAAAAATTGCTGTCTGGAATGAACACATTCAGTAAAAGTCCTTTACTCCTTTCTAAAAGTCCCAGATAACTTACAGATGGTTTTTCTTACAAAGTGAAATAGTCATAGCAGGCAGTCAGAGGTGCTTGTTCAGCGAGAAGGTTGAACTTGATAGGGGAGTCACCATCTTGTACGCAGCAACTAGAATCGACATACGTAACGTGGACATAAAATCTCAAAAAACAAGGAAATGAAAACTGAGTATGAAATGTTCATTGCTTCTTGCTTTAACCCATATTCCTGCTTCCCCACCTGCCCAGCTATTGGATGTCACAATATTTCTTCGCCTTATTCAGCTGCATCAGGACTGGAGTCTGCCATCAATTTCTTCCCCAAATTTGAGTAAGGTTAGAGAGTTCAGTGATGGGGGTTGCGGAGCAGGTCATGGTTAAGGTCATGTTTAGAGGCTGTCTTCCCAGTAAAGAAACTTGCCTGAATTGAGTTTGTAATAGTTTTGGTTATATTTCTTGTTTTCCCGACTGCTTGAGCACCAGCTAATGTCTTCCCTGGAGGTGCCAATAATTGCTGTTATAATGAAGTCTCATCTCTTTCTCTTCAGTTTTGTAGCTTTGATCTTGGTTACACTGACTCTTACATGCTGTATTACCTGGAATTAGAATTGCACTTTGTGGATGAATCCGAAATACAACAAAAACTAAGTGCACGGCTTTCTGAATGACTTTTAACACACAGATTTTATAGGCAATAATGTAAAGAAACAGCTGAAATCCCATGAAATCAATAGATTTCTTCTATGGTATGTGTCTTATGCAGTGCATCATTATGGCTAGAAATACCTCTGAAGTGAAGTAATGGTTTTAGTTTTGTACTCTTCAGAGAAATGGTGAATTTATGCAATTAAATTGAATTTTTAAATATTTTTCTGTACTATTTAGTATTACTTTGTAAGTAATTACATAGATAGGCCCAGTGAAACTTGGTGGCTTCCAGCTATCAAGTCATCAAAGATTTTTTTTTCTGCAGCTATTATTTCTGTTGTGTATGGTGTTTCAATCCATGTTAGACTTGATGGATAAAGTGTTAAGCAGATATGAACTTCCTGATGTTCTCTGCTCTGAACATCTCAGAACCTGATCTAGGTCTCACTAAGGTCAAGAGAATTTTTCTTTGGCTAACTTCAACTGTCTTCTAAAGTGCTTACAAATTTGTATTAATGTACAGTCTTTTGAAGGGCTAGATCAGGTGTGTATCTTTTGACTGAGACTATTACATAAAATTGCATTACTTCATGAATTTGTTAATACCTTTATTATGTATCTTTTTCAGGGTATTGAGGAGTGGAATATTGCCCATCTTAATACAATATTGGATGTTGTAGGAGAAGACTGTGGAATTTCTATTGAGGGTGTCAATACTCCATATCTGTATTTTGGCATGTGGAAAACGACATTTGCTTGGCACACTGAAGACATGGATCTCTACAGTATTAATTATCTCCATTTTGGGGAGCCAAAGTCATGGCAAGTTTAAATTTTTATGAAAAATGATTTAATTTATCTGTTTGTTTCAGCTGACTAAACCAAACAGATGGGGCACAATTGCTTCACAGTGATAAGCTTTACTGAAAAGCTAAGATAGTAGTGTGTGGTTTTTTGTTGTTTTTTTGGTTTTTTTTGGAGCTGAGAATGCTATGAAATGTCATATTTGTGATGTAAAGAACATCGCAGTAATGCATTATTTTTCTTTAAAGGAAAAGACTAGTAAGTACATAAGGCTTATTTGAGTTCAACAGAAAAAGATTGTAGTGATTCATTATGAGAATTTTAATGAGTTGGGAACCTCGAGACTATTTGAGTGAACTTCTGTGAGGCCTCTTTGAAATCAGTTTCTTTGGTTCAGTTGTCCTTTGGGACTGCCTAATGTGTTTTGTAATAAACATGCATTTAATTGCTTTTTTGAATCGGAGTCATGGTCTTTACTGTTAACTCAGTAGGCCCCGTAGTGGATGAGATTCACTGTTAAAGTTACTTCCTAAATATTAATCTTCTGCTATCCTTTCTCCATAACCTCAGATATTTTGATTTGACAGCCTTAATAGAGAAACAAGTAGGTTTAGTGTTATACATATAGATTGTGGTATGCATGTATCAATACAAGTATAGGAGAAAAATTACTCTTGTAATTAGTGTTTCAGGGGTATAAGCCCTGACTAAAGAGAATTTATTTTTGTTTTCTCTTAGAATCACAGAATGGTTTGGGTTGGAAGGGACCTCAAAGACCATCCAGTTCCAACCCCCCTGCCATGGGCAGGGACACCCTCCACTACACCAGGTTGCTCAAAGCCCCATCCAACCTGGCCTTGAACACTTGCAGGGATGGGGCAGCCACAGCTTTTCTGGGCAACCTGTGCCAGTGCTTCACCACTCTTGGAATAATTTCTTCCTCATATCTAATCTCAATCTCCCCTCTTTCAGTTTAAATCCGTTGCCCCTTGTCTGGTTGCTCCACCACCTTGTAAATTGTCTCTCTCTTCTTGCAGATCCCCTTCAGATACTGGAAGGCTGCTAGAAGGTCTCTGTGGAGCCTTCTCTCCTCCAGGCTAAGCAACCCCAACTCTCTCAGTCTGTCTCCAGAGGTGCTCCAGCCCTCAGATCGTCTTCCTGGCCCTCCTCTGGACTCGTTCCAGCAGCTCCATGTCCTTCTCGTGTTGGGTGGCCCCAGAGCTGAACGCAGCACTGCAGGTCAGGTCTCAGGAGAGCAGAGCAGAGGGGCAGAATCCCCTCCCTCGCCCTGCTGCCCACGCTGCTCTGGGTGCAGCCCAGGACACGGTTGGCTTTCTGGGCTGCCAGCGCACGGTGCCGGCACATGTTGAGCTTCTCATCCACCAGCACTCCCAAGTCCTTCTCCTCAGGGCTGCTCTCCATCCATTCTCCACCCAGCCTGTACTTGTGCTTGGGATTGCCCCGACCCACGTGCAGGACCTTGCACTTGGCCTTGTTGAACTTCATGAGGTTCTCACAGGCCCACCTCTGCAGCCTGTCCAGGTCCTCTGGATGGCATCCCTTCCCTCCAGCGTGTCCACAACACCACACAGCTTGGTGTCATCTGCAAACTTGCTGAGGGTGCACTCGATCCCACGGTCCGTGTCAGCGACACAGATGTTAAATAGCACTGGTCCCAGTACTGACCCCTGAGGAACACCACTCATAACTGGTTTGGACTTGGGCATCAAGCTGTTGACCAGCTCGGGGTCAACCGTGGGTTGGGTGGTAAAGTGTCTGCGGAGGCTTTCCTTTAAAGATCCTTCATGCTTTTTAAAAATCCTTCTTTTCTTTAAAGCCCATATGTCTAGCATCTCTGAAAATGTTATCTGTGGGATTTTTCCAGCCATATGGAGTACTTTCCTGAGAACTGCTAAACTTTTCGGCATTGTCAGAACTGACTGTTTTTAACGTGGAGCTTCACTTTTCTGTTCTTTTAGAGTTAACGGCATGCATTAGCATAAGAGATTCTTTTATGAAATAGAAGTTTATAGGCAAAGTAAGGGGAGGGTTTTTTTGCAGTCCTTGAGGGCAAATAATTAACTGTTAGGGCAAACAAACATTTCATGAGCTGGTTATTACTTGTATATAGGTTTTGATTTACAAATTTTTCTGTGAAAGTTACATGTTCTAATACGTGGTGTGGGATTGTAATCTGGGTTATTGGGAGATTGTAGAGGAGATGGAGACCAACTTTTGTCAGTGATGCAGTACTGTAACAAAGGAAAAATAGCGATAATCAGGGCTTGCAAGAGATGTTTCAGTCTGATAGGAGGGAAAAATCGTAACGGGTTGCTTAGGGAGGCTGCTGAGTCTTAATCTTTGGAAGCTTTCAAAACTTGACTGTTTGTTGCCCTGTGCAACCTGGTGTAATTTTGAAGTTAGCCGTATGTTGATCAGGAGATTGGCCTAGATGACATTCAGGTCCCTTCCAGCCTTAACTTTTCTATCATTCAGTGATACTGAATTTTAAAGAAAATGGTGCTCAAAGTTACTTTGCTAATATATGAGGTGACTTGAAAACCAATTCTGAATCAAGTCTTTATTTTTCTGCAGAAATCTAAACCTGTGGGTGAAGTTGCTTACGGTTCGTTTGCAGCTGTTTGTGCTGCTAGTTCTTTCTAGTTTCTATCTACTTACTTGTTTTTAGCCAACGTTTTTCTTAATACGCGTTCTGAGAAATATGAAGCCCTTGGAAATACTGGATTAGAGTAGAAGACCTTCCCTCCCCCATTCACAAAACAGGTTCAGCAACAAAGAATGCCACAATCTGATAAATAACTTTCAACTCTCACTTTGAAGGTCAAGAAGAAGCTAGGTTTTTCTCTTTGACCAGAAGTTCTTGGGTTGTTTTGTTGCACAAGGTTTTGCACTGCTGCAGTTGATAGCAGCCATTTAGATATTGGAATAAAGTTATGAGTTTGTTTTGTGTAAACTATAAGTGCACAACATATGTGACTATTTATTTTCTAACTCTACAGCGTGTAAGTTAGAGAAGGAAGTTTTCAAAAGCTAATGACCAATCTCCTGAACAACCTTGTCTGCTATCTGTGGGTTTTGATGTTTTTAGTGATGTAAGGAATAGACTACTTCATATTTCAGCTTTGTAGTTTCAGTAGAGCTGCCATAATAATGATTCTCTAGTACAAAAGGTAACTTCTTTGGCTCTGATGTCTAGAACGATCTTACTCATGTGGCACGGACCCGTGTAATTACTTCCCGAAGCATAGATAGAAATATCACAATCTAGCTATATTTTTATACTCCTATTGATTGTTCTAGTAAAGTTATGTTCTGTGTAGTTTTTTTGTGTTCTTTATTTTACTGTGAAACCTTGATGACTGTGATTTTATGGTCATTCATATCTTTAACCTTATTTTCTTGTTTATTGAAATCATAAGATTATTAAATTCATCACTAAATGCATAGCAGATCAAAAAAACCCACAAACATCTGTTCAAGTGTAACTTTATGAGTTGCTTTACCTTATCAGTGTTGTAGACAAATCAAATTGTATCCTGTTTCTTCTTTTTGGTTTTCTTTTTTTCATCTTGGACATTAGAGGAATGCAAGGCAGGTCAGCTGTGAAAGTCAGAATATGATTGACAGTTCATAGAATTTTGTACTGACCCTTAGAATTTTTTACTGACTCATAGGAAATCTATCATTCTGGAAATCTGGCTAACCTGACATTTTCTTTTAATGACAAATATAAGTTTTATCTTCTGTTCTTGGAAACTAGGGACTTGTCATTGTCATCATTCAGGGATGCTATTGCATCCTGCATTTTCTATCTTGAGAGTGATGTTAAGGGGTCCTTGGAAAAAGAAAAATAATTCCGAGGTCTTTATATTCATGTATCTCTTATTATTATTTAGCTCCACTACTTTTCTTGCTGTGAAAGTAAAGTTCACTTTCTGTGGAAACATACAGACTAAACTAAAAGCATGTGACTCGTTCTAGCAGGATATCCTGGGTGGTTGTACAGTGACAGCCGTGCAATTCACAGAGCATGTTGCAGGTATTTATGATTTTTGACATTCTTTGCAGCCAATGAGGACAAATTGTTCTTTTCCTCTTTTTAACAGTTTCCATGAGTGAGGAGTTTGATTTAATTTCCATCTTAAATTTATGTCCTTAAACCAGGATTTTCGTGTTGGAACAAACTTGGTGAAAGAAGCTTTTTCTAGAATTGTAATGAATGCTGATGGTTGAAGTACACTTAATTTTAATAGTTTTTATAGGTCTTGGTAAAAACTTTTGAAAATTTGTAGTAATGCTTCTTAAAACTGCATCAGTGAGAATGTCGGCTAAGGTTTTCTGATTACTATTTTTATTTATGTATTTATTTAAAAACTACTTAATGCTAAGTGGATATTACTCACAGCCAACATGCAGTCATGTTTCTCTGTTTAATTGAAGGCAGAATAGAGAGAATCTTAAGCACGCATCAAGTCTATGCGGTGAATTAAAGAGAAGTGAAAGGCGTACTTCCGATACAGAAATAGCATCACTTTATTTATTTTTATCTACAATAGTAGATTATGGAGGATGCTTTTAAAATTATATGTAAAATTTTGTTTCAGAAAGCACAGCTGTAATACTTAAAGTTACGCTGCTCTTAATTTTTGTAAGTCAATATTCTTATTGCAGTGTCTAAAACCAAGGCAGTATACTTTTTTAACTTGAAGTTACAAAGAGTTAGAGAGGCTTCAGTGCTAGGCTATTAAAGTTTGGATTCAATTAATATATTCTGTTAAAAAAGTAGCAATGATTCTCGGTGGATTTTTGTCAATCAACGTGTATAATAATATGAAAACATTCTAATTGCGTACAATTGTATTTCTTAGTTTTACTGACATTATAGTTTAGGTGGTTTACTTCTACTGTGAAGTTATTGCAGAAACTCTAATCAGTTTGTGACATGTTTTCTGGCTACTTGGAGATTTTTTTGTGTATAAATTAAATAGTAACCAAAGTAGTTACTAAGGGTCAGCAGGTTGTGAGTTGCTATTTTCAGCCAAGTTCCCAGAACATTATTTTTTCATTTCATAGTCAGCTAACCTAATTATCACCAAGCATGTTTTCTGAGCTGAAGACAAGACTGAGTGATCACAGCTGCTAGACTACAACAGGGAGCTTACTTTGGCACTAGTTCGTGAATAAACCAGGGATTTGCCTAAAGACGGAGATTCTATTTCCAAAAAAAAACCCCAAAACCAAAAAAGGTGGCAGAGAAGTTGTTAGCTTATTTAAAGTACGCTGTAGAAGAATGTAAACATGTAGAAGAATTAATCTTGGAAACGTATGTATAAATATTTCAGAAACACAGATTAATGACTTAGATTTAATATTTATTACTTACTTGTAATTATCTTGTTGCCAGTACCCTTGATTTGCTGAATTCGTATGTATTTCATTTGATCTTTTTGAACAATACTCGACAGATGAATGTACTATAATTTTTTCTTTGTAGTATGACTCTAGCAATGCAGTGACTTTTCAGCTTTTATCTGTCTTTTCAAAATTTTTAACAAGTATGTCTTCCTGAACTAATAAAATTAAAATGTAGTTAGCATCAGCATTTCCCTTTTTATCTGTTCTTCTCTTTTTATCTGCTTCTTTGGTTGTAATCCACAAAACATTCACATTGCCTCTTAGTGATTTAGCATTTAATGTACATTACAATTACTTTTAAAGAGAGCTGGACTTGGCCTTAAAATACAAGAAGTTGAACAAGTATTAGTGGCTGTTTTGTAGCATAGCTTAAAGGAAGCTGGACAGAAGATGATGAAAAATACTTTTCTAAAAGCTTTTAACACTGCTCAAGTTCTCGTATGAGTGATCTATTGAGACTAAGAGTAAATACTTTTCCCTCTGGTTTGGCAATTTGAGCTTGGGAGGTTTTTTTTGTTTAATGTTCTGTACAGTAGACCAAGGATCCAGTAAGATTCATGTCATTGTAATTTGACTGGTATCAAAGAAAGGTGCATATGTGTTAAAAAACCTCAGTTTTCTAATAAATTGTGTTAGGAACCAAGAGCCTGGAGAGTGGCTTTGGGACTCGTGATCTGATCCTACAAAAATGGTCTCCTTTCCTTGGTCCTTTTCTTAGCTGTAAGAAAAGAGCAGTGGCAACAGTGGGAAGAAATACAAGATTGAGAAGTAGATGTTACCACAGACCCCAAACGAAAACAATGATGAAAAGCACCAACTTGCATTGAATGGATTATTTCTTGGTAATTTTAGATTAGCTAAATAAGTAGCTATAGCCCAGATAAATCATGTCCTGTCTTATCTTTCCGAGAGACTTACTGAGAGCTCAGATGTCCAGTTTTGCATTTTTGTAGTATTGATGAGTACTTACATGTTTATGTGTACAAATGGAAGCATGTGGCTGCATATTGTCACAAAAACGTACTGACATGTACTTTTGGGAGAGTAACTTTTTAGGAAGAATACCAGTCCAAGTGGAGACAGGTAAAGCAAAGAGAAGTCTCTAGTTTGAGTTTTTGGTTAAACGCGTACACTGTCTGTTCACGTTTTAGTTTAGGGAGTTGTGTACCTAACAACATAGAGCACTGTGTACGGTGCTATACGTAGCATTTGTCTCTTCTGGGGTGTGAAAGATGCAAACATGCAATTTAAATTACTGTGTGTACTCTGATGCACATGTAATATGGAGTGGAGAACAGACACGTGTGCTCTGGAAGTACAAACGGAGAGAAACAAGATCAGTTTTTATAAGACAGTGAAATTTGGTTAAAACTGCAAACATCGAGCAGAGTCAAGCTGAAAATCTCTTTTTATTTGGTACCGTTTGGAGTGGGTTGTCAGTAGCGTTGGTTTTGCTGCAGTTCAACTTAGAACACTGACTTCTGTGGGTCTTCTGTGCAGCAGTTTTAGTTGTAGCAGAGTAAAATTGTGTGTGTGCAGATGAGAGCGTGAGGTAGGGGGATGTTTGTTTCTTGTGCAAAACGAGGAGCCTGGGGTCCTTGGCTCGTTTTTCTCAGTGAGTGGTCAGGGGAGATGATTGAAATCTCTGTTCAGAGATTTTCTCTGTTCACTCTTTTACAGTGTAGTAAAAGAAAAAAAAAGCTGTATGTTGAAAATGTGGATTTGGACAATGTGGTACAGCTGAGTATGCATTTTCTCCTTTCCTGAACCATATTTTTTGATAGAGCAGAATTGATCCAGTGTGGTTGCAGCATTAAGCCTGCTGTATCACATACTGAAGCAGTTAAAGTCAGCAATAAATCAGTAATAACACCTAATAATGCATACAGTATATCTATGAATTGCAGTAAATATGTGAATGACAGTGTTCAGTAAAGCAAAACAAAATTGCAGCTTTTCAATCACCTTCAATTTTTTAGCTGTAATCAACATTAAAAATAACGATGTTAATTCCAGTTTTTTATATTGTTACTGACTTTTTGTGGGTAGTGTATGGAATCTTTAAAAATCAATTTATTGTAAAAGCAGAGTGATTCCAAGATACGTACAATTCTTAGATTTGGAGAAAGTGTGTTTCTTAAATATTTTTTTATCTTTAGTTGTAATGATTTTAGAAAGACAAATAACATTTGCTTTAGGAAAAAATAGAGATGCTTAATACACATGTTTTTCTATTGAACTCTGTGTCTTCTGAAGCACAGTAAAATTCAAGGAAATTAAACCTGTATAAATTAGACTTATTTAATGTTTTTTAGTTTCGTTTAGAAAATGAAAGTATATATGTCTTTTTAAACTGGAGTGGTGTAATCATATCAAATATTGTCAGTATTCATGATTTTAAATAGTGAATATAACATCTTGATCTACATATTATAGTGTTTAAATTAGAAATAAGCTATGATGTTTTCTTAAAGAAACCCTTCTGTATTTTTTCCTCAGAAATTGATATATTTTTCCTGTGTAATTCTTCAGTCTTTAATTTTTTTAGCTTCTATATTTTTAGATATTTATCATATTTGAATCATGTCTTGCGTAGCAATTATATTTTTTAAGCATTTCATCCTTTTTTTTTATGTGCATTTTAGGTATGCTATTCCTCCAGAGCATGGGAAACGGCTTGAAAGACTAGCTCAAGGTAATACTTTCAATATTTCCATATGTAAGATGTTTGAAGGACAAACCTCCAACAAAGTGGAAAACATTGTCCTTGACTTACCTACTGTGTTTTGCTACTTAACGTTGTGTGACTTTTATCTGTCTACAGTATGATTGCAAACAAGGATCACTTGCTGGTACTCTGAGGAATTCTTAAGAAACAAAATAGTATTTATTAGTTTTTTTTTTTCTCTTAGAACTTTATTTTGTACTGGCATGTTTAGCTTGGTGAAGCTTATGAAAGTGAGACTTAGTACTTTGTTGTTCATTAGGTTTTCATTGCTAGTATCTTTGTCTCTTTTCATAGAATCATAGAATGGTTAGGGCTGGAAGGGACCTTCAAAGGTCATCTAGTCCAACCCCCCTGCAAGGAACAGGGATATCTCCAACTCGATCAGGTTGCTCAGGGCCTCATCCAACCTTTTGTGCCCTGGCTTTTTCTTGTCTTCTTTTCATCAGTGACTTTTGAATCTTAACTTCCTAGCCAAATTTGATACGATAGAAATATTGAAGACAGCTGAGTCTCCAGAAGTTTCGTAAAGTTAATAGCTGGGTAGAGGACGGAAACCCGCTTAATACCTCCAGGAAGGGGAAAGCAGACAAAGCATGGCAATGGTAGCAACCTGCTGGCCAGTGAGCAGGCATGTAACTCCATTTTAGCCGGAGCATGTACTGGCTTTTGCCCTCCAGAGGTGTGAGGAGCATCTGTTGAGGAGCAGCGGATATTCTTGTAAGGTTGGGATCTAAGGAATGAAAATCACTAGTCTATAGGAAAGTTCTTCTCACACAGTAATTTGTTTTTTATGTTCAGTAACACTGCATCTCTCTGTTTCTAGATTGAGTGCAATTTATGAACTTGGGAATAATTAGGCGTATTTCTTGGCCTGGCAGCCCGTGTTTTATAGCCTACTGTTAACCATATTATATAAGGAATCCTACTGAAAGTTGGTAATTAGACATTGTGTATCAGGACCAAGTTCTGAAAATTAATTTCTTAGCTGTTTTATGTCCATGTAGGTGCATGACTATCTTTATAAGCTATTTTTAAACTATTGCTGAGAACTGTAAGATGGCATGTATCACTGAGATGTGCAAGTAAAGACCTGTGAACTTGCAGTCTTCAAAAACACGTCTCAGAAAGATTTCAAGCTGGATAACTGCATTTACTATTCCTAAATTTTCCCATAGTTTCAGTTGAGAAAGTTGTCACTCATTTTTTTGCTTTCCACATTCTTTTTCCAACTGGCAAAATATAGAACTCTTTGTATACATACCCTGAAGCTTTTTGTCTTCGCTGGTAGACATATTGGTACATGTTGTAGACTGGGCAAGTGACACTGGCTTGTAATAGGATCATTCATTAATTATTCATAAAATTTACAGGAAATGAGCAAGGAGTAAAGGGAATAGAGAATTGCAAAACATTCAGAGAGGGACGCTAGGACTGGTGAAAAATTTGCCTTTTTGTTTTAATAATTGTTAGTGAGCTCTAACTTTTCAATCTGAAAAAGTGTCAAATGAAGGGAAGGGGGTATGATAAAGATCTGTGAGGACTGGCATGGAAAACTGTCTGAAGAGTGAGTGTTCACTGGATCTTCCAGTGGAGCAGAGACTCTGAATGAAGAGTCTTAGCAGGTTCAAAATAAATGGGAGGAGATGGTGTCCTTTCACAGTACGAACTCCTCATCGTCCATGGTGGATTCTAAAATTTTGTGTGTATTCAGGAGGACACTGGACAACACTGGCAAGAAATCTGTTAGAGGAGCATAGGAACTGCATCTGGCTTTGGAAGTCTTGGCACATCAACTCATTGGTACTAGGTCACTCAGAGGAAGTGAAGGTTTTGTGCGTTTCGTTTACATTTGAACACCTCTCTGTACATCCACTTTTGACGTTTGCTGGGGACAAGATCTTTGGGTAGACAGACTTTTCACTTTTTGTGGCATGCTCTGGTGTTTATTATAGATTTAGTATTGATTGAGTATAGCCGTGCAGTCTTGTAAAACTATTCAGGTGTGAATGTTCTGTAATGAGCGTGTATCAAAACTTTTTTTTTTTGTGAGAGTGAGAAAAGAGAATGGGCAGTTTCAGCAACACTCATTCACTCATTTCTAAAAATTAAGTGGCATTGAGGAATGTCATTGTTTGCTGCAGGCTGAAAAAAACCTTCAGATTTTTCTTTGACATATCCTGGTTTCCCCAGATATTGGAGTAACCTATATAAATTCAGGAAGTAGGTAACTTTTGGAGATACATGCTTTACTACATCAGAGCTTTTAGAGTCACTTAGTGTAAACTTACATATTTTAAGACAGTATTATGTTAGAAAACTGTGGTCTGAAGGTGCTCAGGCCTCTTATTGCTCATAATGGTGGCCTAGTGTAGTAGGAGGAGTAAGATATAAAACATGAGGAGAAGTGGAAATCTCTAAAACCACTGTTTGTCAGAAGCCAATAGGTTGTACTGGGGGAACAGTGTCTTAATGTCCAAATGCCAGGATCAGATTTGGACAACAGGCTAAATGGGACTTAGGACTTCAGTCTCAGTGTAACAATTCTTAGGCTCAGAAATGCTGGAAGAAAGAAGGACAGGAAGAAATCTGGCTTCAGGTACTCTGGCGTGTGCGTACATGCTTTCTATAGCTGGGAACAGGAACTGGGTTCCTTAATCCTTACTGGTTGCTATATTGAAAGAAGTTGCCCAGGCATGTCACTCAGCCTTGGTCTGTGCACATCTGTGTGCAAGTAAGTTGTCTGCTATTGCTATTAATTATATGTTAGTACAAGTTGTAAAAGATCTGCATGATGAATGGAAAACTACTTTGCTTGATGGATCATGTGTATGAGCAAAACTTAATTATTTTTTTTTCAGAACCGTGTTTTGAATAGTAAATAGTAAATAAAACATAGAATCAAGTACTGAAAAGTGAAGATAAAATTTCAAATAGTTGCTTATTCCATTATATTTCTTGAATGAAACTGGATTTCTGTACAGAAAACTACGTACTCATACAAAGATTTTTATTGTAACAGCAATTTAAGATAGGTGAGTTAGTTTCGCAGACAGCCCTCTCTGAAATTTTTACATTTTTAATGTTTGACCTTAGTGTTTTCTGCCATGTTTTTCTGTGAGTAAGTTGTTTTCATGATATTTTTGGTCTAGCTAATAGCTTAGAGTGGAATGTAGTTCTTACGAATAAAGATGAGGAACTTTATACTCAATTTGACCTACACATTAAATATTATTTTTTTTTCTGAGAAACTGACATTTCTGATTACTTCTGTGCTGTGGAAGTTAAGACCTCTGTGATCTTCTATTTTGTGACTGCTGCCTGCTAAAATACAGTCTGAGTTTTACAGTAAGGAGATATCTTAAAAAGAGAAAATGTAAAGTAAACTGCATGGCTGCAAGGCACTTAATAGTAAACATTAATAAAACATAGTGTAAATGAGAGCTTCATACTTAATTATATGTGTATTGCAAATATTTTTAATTATGTTTCTGCATGAGTACAACATCTGAAGAAAAGAAGTAGTTTTTTCAGTAAGGTTAGCTCTGATGACCAGATGCCTACCAAATTAATCGAATGCTCCTGAATAATTAAAATAATAAAATAATACATTAAATATTACAGTTGTCTAAGTCAAGGCAATAGTTGATAAGTAAAATTAAAGGAAGGCTACGATATTTTCTATTATCTTGTCTGCACATCACAATTACCACACATGCTTTTTATGCATGAATGCTTTCATTTTTGCTTTCTGTGGAAATCTTGATTGACTGTGGCACCTACAAATACTTTATCTGAAAGACATTAGACTTGCATCTAATAGAGACAACAGTTTGATTTTGCCCTTCAGCTGCTTTCTCATTTATGTATTTTTTTCAATTTTATGTACACATAAGTGTAATAAAAATCTCAAGTGAGCTGTTAACTGCAATTTTTATACTTGTGGTTGTGTTAATCTGTAATACCATGACATTCTTAAGGATTTTTAGTTTCACAAAATGAGTTAGAAAATAAAGAGAATAGAAGCAGAGCAGCAAATCAGAAATGACAATTTGAAGGATTTTCAGGATCGTCTAATAGATCATTTAATTGCAGAAGCTGTTTTAGAGAGGAGATGACATCTATCTGTGATCTTCAGTTATATTAAAGAAGAAACTAAAGTTTAATATATTGTAAGCATATAGGGGTGTTATAAAAATGTTTGTATGGTGTATAGTATTAATTCCTTCCATGCAGAAGTCATTACCTGTTATGTATGAAAACAGATATGAGTAAGTGTTGAAATGAAACTTGGTGTAGAACTTGAATAACTTCTAAGGGTCTCTAACCTGAAAACTTGAGCAGCTGAAAAATTGAACTTTGTCTCAATTGATAGTTATATGAGTCAGGCTAGGAAAGTCGTATCTAAGAGATAATAAACTTCAGGCTGTAAAATATTCATCTGGGCACAACACTCATATTTCACAGCACTTGCTTCTTTTGTGGCTTTTGTGTTCTGTGCTTTGTATAGCATGCAAATTGCTACTGCTTCCGTGTGAGGATCGTTGTCATGCGAACTCATCCTCCTAATTTCTTTTATGTGCAACACAGGAAATTAAATTAAATTAGTTCAAATCACTGCAAATTAATTTAAATACATTATTGGCAGTTTGTATTTATACCTACCAAAGTAAAATCTAACCCCCAAATGACTAGAAATCTCAGTTTTCCTTTCATCTCTACCTGTGTCTCGAGAGTACTGATCGGTAAATTATGGTTAATATTTTGTATGGTCTAAGTCCTTTAAATGAAGGTCTGTATAAGTAAAAAATTACTGTAAGTTTGAGCCTAATTACATTAAAGTTAAATTACATTAAAGCTATTTGCAATTTAGGATGTTCCCTTTCTTATGTTGTAAGTTTTATGTTTTTATATTTATGTTTTCATATTTTCTATTTTCAACTAATATTAACAAACTAGAAATACAGCAC